CTCACCTACTCTCCTCTCACCTCACTGCGATGCGAAGCCAGCCAGGGACCGCGGGTATCACCCTGAGCTCCGCCGGTGGCTCTGAACACGGCACTGGGGAAAAGGGCAGAGGCTGAGGGATATTTCAGGGAGGGGCAGTTACCCCCTGGTCCCCAAATGCTATAAGGCACAATTCTTGGAGGCAACTAGATTCCATCCAAAACATTAAAAAACCAAAAAACTTATCAGATCCCAGGCCTACTGTGGCTGTGCTTGGGGCCTGGCCAACTCCCACCTAGCACCACTGGGGGCTAGCACTAGATAAGTTATATTTGAAGAATTAAAAAAAAAGAAAAATGACCAGCACAATGTCCCAGCTGTTAAGAGGTGTGAAGGAGAGCATCTCCAGTCTGAAAACTTTAGTTATGATAATTAAAAAAAAGTTGGGCTTTTAAAAATCAAAAACAGCTTGTTTCAAAGATGTCCCTCACATGTGCCCCTGGAGTTAGCAGCGTTAAGAGGGCTCTCGGCTCATGGATGCTTCTCTTGCTCCTGGACCAGAGAGGGTGAGCAGGGTCCAGGGGAAGACGGACGGCACTTCCAGGCAGTGATCCTCCCAGCAGGCTCCAGAGGGCGCTGTCTTCTCGGGAAGCGTTGGGGCTGGAGCCGGCAGCTTGGACGAGCATCTTCTCCCCGCCGACCGTTGTTGTTTATCACACACAGGAGAAAAACCACAAGCTTACAAATGCAAACGAGAGAAGCCGAGGGGCGCTGTGCTGGCTCCCGGCAGTGTCCCATCTTCCCTGCCAGGCGGGCTCGGGAGCACCGGGCTCCCCCCAGACCGTCCAGGCTGCAGCAACTCCTGCCTGGCAGCTTCACTGTATCTTCCTCTTACGTGTCAGGTGTTTTTGTTGTTTGTCTTTTTAAAAGAACTTCGGATGTGGGGCCACCACAGGGGAGGGAGGATGGGCTGTACTCCTCGCTGCTACATGCGGGAGGGTGGACTGGCCAACTCGTAGAAGAGCAGATAGGCGTCGCTGGTGCGCACTTGGCTGGGGGACATGGGGGAGACGCTGCGGAGAGAGCAGGGACAGGTCAGCCTGGCGGGCAAGGGCCACCGCGATGCAGCCGAGTGGCTGGGGGAGTGTGAGGGTCCGTCTCTAATCTCTCTACTGGACACCCGAGGCCACCCTCTCCTGTTGTCTCCTGGACAGTCTTCAAACGGGCAGCTGCTCAGCCTTCTGGCCCTGACCTCTTCTGTCCAGGCACAGACGGAGGTACGGGCGTCTGAGGTCTATCTCACCTGGAGTCGTTGAAGGTGTGCCATTCGCCTGTCACCGGACTCCGGCAGCAGGCTGTGTAATGGCCGCCCAGGGTGGTGCCGGAGTGATTGGACACAGCGTACAGGTTGTAAACAACATGGTCTGAGGAGGAAGCACAAGGTTTCAAGCCCCCAGGCATCCCTTGCCTCCCCGTCCCCACCCCGCCCCCTATTCCCAGCTTCCCCATCTCACCTGTGAGCAGCTTCCCTCCACCTCCTGGCCTCCCATCTGCATCTCAGATACTTGTGCCCTGTGTCTGCCCTTCCAGCTGAAAAATACTTACTGGTGTTTTCTGAGGCAAATTCTCTCAAGTCCAGGTCTCTTAGTGGGAAATTCACAAATGTTGTGAGCTTGCTGGTTCGTATCCTGGATTCTGAGAACCGCTTCAGATCTGGTATTGATGTGAGTCAAGGACAAACAGGGTGGTGAGAACAGGGTCAAAGAACAGGAGACAAGCCCCTGAGGGTGACTGCACTTCCTGGGAAGCAGAAGAGCAAACAAAGAGAATGAAAGCCCATCAAGTTTCCTTCTTCCCTACTTTGCCTGCCCTCACAGTGGCCCCTTGTCACTCTCAAGTCAAGCCCCTGCCCTGATGGATCTGAAGGATACGGAGCACCAAGATCTTTGGGAACCTCTGGATGGAGAACTTCTTTATACACCGTTTTCTGGCTCGGCAGCGACAGCATGTCTGAAAGATACGACAGAGTTGAGAAGGACTCACGGGAAAGGCTGATGGCCGAATCCAGCAATTCCGCGGCTGGTCTGCCCCCGAGAGGGCTCTGGGAGATGTGCTCTCGCTGTCACGGAGGGTGACTTACTGGCTTTTCATCGCCATCAAGCACATCCTCTTTGGTGAAGAGCCTCATGCAATCCATTAAAGTCACCTCGGGATAACCTCGCTGGGAGAGAAAAGTAAAGGTCAGAGGTCAACAACACAGAGAAGATAAGAGTAGCGTTTCAAAAGTGGGGTGACAGGGGTGCATACCTTAGCAATGGGCAGTGAGAGGTCCCAGAAGGGATCAAAGACAGTAGAACAGTAACCACAATCAGTACACGTCAGGGAGCTCTTCAGCTGCCCCACAAAGAGATCTGGGGGAGAGATGGACATGTGATGCTTAAACGCAGGGTCTCCTTTCTCACCACCACTCCTGCCTCGGTTGGTTGGGCACTGGGCATTGGGAGAGGTCCCTGGGAGAACCCATGCTCTGCTCAGGCAAAGCAGTTCACAGGGGAGGCAGGCATGCCCCTGTGCCTGCACTTACCCCCAATCCGACTGTCTTCCCGTTCTAGATATTTCCTCCACATCTGGCGCCCTTTCTCATCATCACTGGGACCCACAGAGAGGAAGACGACTGGGTCAGAGCTCAGACCATGATAAGTCTAAAGGTCTACCAACTGAAATCCTTAGTATCCAAAATCCTCCCCCAAACTATTACCCCCAAAGAAGTTGGCATGCTTCTCCTCCTACTCACGGAAGATGGTCCAGGTTCTCAGGGTTGGACTTGGGCCTCGCTGTGACCCGGTTCACCTCGTTGTGGAGCCCGTCCAGAAGGAAACGAAGAAACTCCTGGGCATCCTGCTGACTGAACCCGAGGAAAGGAGAGTGAGAACACCCCTCGTCCCTAGCACCTGCTGCTGCCACCACCCACCCTGGGGAGGACCCGTCCCCAGGGCCCTTACTTGTAGCCGACGAAGCGCGGGGCGTATCTCTGGATCTGGGTCTTGAACTCAGAGGGGCTCACCACATCATTGGGGGATGAGGTCCATATGGTCTGGATTAGTTTTGCAAACTCTTGGAAGGAGAGGGTAGAGGGGGGCGTGGAAGACAGGTGAGCCCCTTTCTCTAAGAAATTCAGAAACTAGAGTCCCAACAAAAAGAAGCCAAAGAAAAAGAAACAGAAGAGGAACACAGAACACAGCCCCACCAGGACAGCAGCAGGAGAGCAGGGAAGTGTCCAGCGGGGACCAGGACCACCGCGCGCACGGGCCCCTCACCTTCCATGAGGGCCGTGTGCGCGCTGCTGCTGTGGCTCAGCTCCCGCACGTACAGCCTCTGGAGGCAGTAATCTCGCAGCTCCCGGGTGTTGCTCAGGCACTGCAGGATGGAGTTCATGAAGCACTGCAAGAGAGCGTCCCGTCAGCAGGGGAAGACAGACCCCTGGCTGGCATGTCTAGTTCCTTAATACTCCAGGCCCTCCGGTTCACCTGGCCCAGAAATGAATCCTCCCACAGCCTCAAGTTCCTCTTTCTGTAAGTGAAAGGTGTGAAGTGAGGCAGATTCCCACCGCTGGCACAGGTGACGCAACTGGTTATTTACTAAACAGGTGTACAAAAGGGTGTGGGGGAGCCAGACGGAAGTGGGTGGGGAAGTGATGGATGTCCTTGAGAAGGATCCAGGAAAGTAGCTAGGCCGCCGGCGAAAAGGGCAACTCCCCTTTAGCAGTCTTTCCTGCTGGGGGCGGGGATAAGGCAGAGCCCAGCAATTCTGTAAAACACCAGTCAGGAAGGGCAGCTACCAACTAGCCTGGAGGGTAGGGAGTCAGCTGAAGCCAGGAGGGGACTCTGGTTAGATGGTCCCAGCAGGGATGGAAGGGAGTGGCCTCAGGGAAGAAGTGGGCTGGGAAGAACTCACCGTGTTCCCAAGGTTTCGGAGACCAGCCAGACCCTGGGCGCTCTTAGAATTCTGCAAGCAAAGAACACGTGGCATATGAGGCTGAAGGAAGAGGCCGGCCCCACGCTAGGTTCTTTCTGGCTGATTGTAGCTGCTAGCATCAGGCCACACACATTACTCTCTCTCCAACTTTAGTCTATGTACATTGTAAGAAAGAGGGGTGAGAATGCCTGTCATTTTCAACACACAACAAAAATATTCCTCAAGGCTTTGCTTTCCTTTATTGACCATGTGTTTCCCCCCATCTTTACGTTACATCTTTACTCTTCATTCTCTGCCATGTTGGAGACTAGAGATTAGAGCCAGAGACTGGGAGTTCACATATCTGATTCCTGTTATAAGTTTCAGGTCCCCAGTCCAGACACACTCTAAATGACCTACACGTGTACCGCTAATGTCTGAGCTATAAAGCAGCTATACTAATAAGCACTTCAAGGAGGTCTTGGAAAGCCCAATGACGAAAATTAACTGAGTTCAGATCTTCAGCTGGGAAAAACTGGCCTGCCATTCTGAATTGCCAGGGACAGGTGGAATTCCTTTCAGCTGAGCTCAGCTCCTCAGGGCTGATTAAAGCCTGGGAGAATCCTCCCCACCTGGTTCAGGTTTCAACATCCTGACTGGCCACTGGCTGGGAATCCTTCTGATGGCAGACTGGCCACGCAGAGGTGAGCACCTGGCTGCAGGCGCGACTCCTGCCCTTGTCGCTCTGGTGGAGGCTGGGAGGGGGCTGGAGAGAGCACAGGTGCTGGGTCGAGGACGCTGAGCGTTGTTTTTCCAGGTCTCTTGGCTAATCCTGGCCCAACCTCCAAGGAGGCAGAAAACCTTCAGGCTCAAAGGGTTAAAGCAGCAACGTGCAGAGGACCCTGCCATCCTCCCTTTCAGGGAGGGGACCCGGGAGCAGGCAGCTCTGGAGCAACACTGGCTGGGGCATGCGTGGGGCCAGCTCAACCCTGATCAGAACAGAAGCCTGAAATAACTCAGCTAAAATTACTCATGCCGTGTGCTGACAGCCTCTGAGGCTGTCAGCAGCTCAAAGCCCATGAGGTTGTCAGCATAAGGGGGGTGGGGTGGGGAGAAGCAGGCTGAAGGAGGGCTTTTCTCAGGAACTGCCCTGCTGATCCCACAAGTAAGAGGATCCCTCCTTGCCACTTATTAGGTCTAACACTAACAGGTAGGCAAGGAAATACCTAAACCAGCCGACAGACCTGATTTCCACCTGCAGCTGGAAAGAAAAGCCTATTGGCAGCAGGTGGGGTATAAGCAGCCTCTGAAGAACAGAGCAGTGTAGGGCCCCAAAAGCAAAATTTAAATCTTACCTTTCCAACAATCTAAACCCTGATGTTCCAGGCAGGGGCCACAACAAAGACAATTCCCTGGACAAAGACCTTACCAGCACTTTCAGGTCAACCTGGGGCCCAGCAGAAACACTGACGTCTCCGTGCTGCCCACCTGGAACTAAGCAGTAAAGCCCGCCCGCAGCTGAACGCCCACTCCGACACCTCTTTCTGGCAGCGCTTTATTAGTTCTCACCCCCCTGTGCTTCCACCACTGGTGACTGTCACTGTCCACCCTCGGCTGAGATGCAGTCACGCAGCACTAGTGGGGGTAGGGCAGCGGGAGACCGGAGGCATCTTTCTAGGGAAGCATTCCTGTGGTGTTGACACTTTGACCCAGCAGACAGAGGGTCAAGAATGCATCGTGATGAACAGTTACTATCCTGAAGGATCTAATCTTACTTGTGGCCTGGCCGGTGGAGGAGAGCTGGAGAGGCTCCTTCAAGGCATCGCTAGGACCCTCTTCGTTCTGGGGGTGGGGGTTGTGTCTGTCTAAAACCTCCTGAGCTCGAAACCACTTGCCAATTCGTAAGCACCCTATGTAGAAGGCGGCTGGGTGACAGGAGTCAGGGGGTTAGGGTGGAGGGGAGAGCAGGACTGTTCTCTGCCTAGCCAGATAGTCTTCTGCCATGAATAGGAAATCAGGAGCTCCAGGGAAAGTCAGCACTTTCCATTCCAGAGAGGAACAAAATGTCCCAGAAGTGACCTTTCTTACGGGGAAAACAATCCTACCTCAGGGCTGACAGGGAGAGGCTAGAACTGGAGAAGTTGGGAGAGACCCTGTATAGCTAGCCTCTCACCAGGAGAGGAGGAACTGACTCCAGCTAGGATGCTGGAACTCAAGTGCAAAGAGCTGAGAAGGTTCGGGTCAAGAACATCCTTCAAATTAGCCATCAGCACACCTAATGTGACTCAGTAGCAACCACTGTTCTAGAAAGTAGATGCCACCTCCATAGCCAGTAAACAGCGTTCACCTTCCAGCGAAGGTGCAGAGGACTCAGGAAGCACCCGCTCTACGTTAAGGCATTGGAAACATCCGGGAATATAGGCCATATTAAAAAGGCTGATTGAGGTTTGTGCCTTCACACTCGAGACCCCAGGAAAGAGCATTCCGGCGTACTTCACCTGTGCCATGAGGGTCAGCCATGAGTCCTGGCTGCAGCCAAGGAGCCTGGTGTGGCCCTGGCACGGGGCAGTGCACGCACTGCCAACACGGGAGCTGGTGCTGTTACATAAGATATGCCAAGCTCTGGCCCCTTCTCCCTTCCCCGAGGGGACAGTGCCCAGCCTTTAGCCCCAGCATCACTCTGGAGTGACTACCTCATTTGAAGGCTCCAGAGCCCACTTAGCAGAACTGGGGAGGGCTGGGAAGAGAAGGGACGTTGATCTCTTTCCAGTCTGCAATTCCTCTGCCCTTCACGGGGTCAAAGGACCCCTGTTACCGACCCTCGGGGAGAGGGCCTTTTGGGATCAGTGACGGGGAGGCAGCCCCCTTCTGATCAGCCTTTCTTGCTGGGTTTTGGCCTTGGAGGAGTCACACCAGCAGAGTCCAGCGAGCTGCCCGTTCCCTCACACCCCGAGAACTAGTCAAGGTTACGCCTTCCTGCACCTGTCCGGATAGGTGCCAGGAATTAATTAAGAGCCCAAGAGCCACCTGGTGCCTGGGTCGCGGAGAGGGAGGGGGGAGGGGGACTCGGGGCTGGGACCTCAACAAGGGGCAGGGGCCGCGAGTGAGCGTGAGATCACATGGGGAGGGGGCACTCCTTGCCGGGAGATCCTGGGAAAGGAGGGTGGGGGGGCTGGGAAGAATCCGCGCCCGAGCCGAGGGCGCGCGGCGGACGGAGGTAGGGGTGGGGGCGTCCCGGGGAGGAGGCGGAACCCCAGCCCTCAGCGTGGGGGTCCCGGAAAAGGGCCCCGCGTACCTTGGCTTTGTTGAC